CACAGAGATACTCCTCACTCCTCAGTCCAGACAGTGGCTGTGTTAAGGTTTCTAACTAGATGGTCTCCAAATAACCCTCAGGCAATCATGGGTGGGGCTCCTGGGAGGTGATTGGCTCATGCGGCCTGATACTCATTAGTGGGTTCATCCACTGATGAGTTTATAGCTAAGTGTGCTGTTGCGACCTGAAGCCTGGTGGGAAGGGGTGGGTCATGGGGGCGTGGCCTGCAAGGGTGCATCTCCCTCCTCCTCCTTGATCCCTGTGTGCTTCCTGCTGCCACGCCATAGACTGTTTCTCCTCTGCTATGCCCTTCTGCCCTCGCACCTTGCCTTGGAGCTAAAGTACTAGGGACCGAAACCTCTACAAACTGTGAGCCAAAATAAACTTCTCCTTAGAACTGTGGGTGTTGGGTGCTGTGTCTCAGCAACAAGAAAGTAACTAAGACAGAATTCTTGGATAAGTTTACTCTTTTGCATTTCCTTGTTTGAAGTATTCTGTTTTTCTGGTTTCTGTTAATGCTTAATTGTCAGCTTGCAAATGGTACAAAGAATGGTAGGCTGCATGGTGACCTTTCAAATCTGTTGCCTGGACCCAGAGGCCACAGGGAGAGGTGCAGGGATCTCATACTTTGAGCACGAACACACAATTACTTCCTATGATCCTAGTCAGTAACCACCGAACCCAGATTCAAAGCACTGACAGTTGAGGGGCCTAAGGATGGCTGACTGCCCTTTTCAGATTTCTTAAGTGTCTGTGAGGAATTAGAAGTCTTGCTGCCTGGACAGACTGCTGGATGTCAGTCTTGGTTTAAGACACTGCACGAGGAAGGGGTGCAGTTAGGAGGAGATTGATCACATTAAAGGGGGTTTAAACTGCATATTTTGAGGCCAGATGTAGTGATACATACCTCGAATCCCAGAACCCAGGAGACTGAGGCAGGAAGATCCCTGTGAATTCAAACCCAGCCCATACTATATAGCAAGACCCTGTCTCAGAACAAAGCAAAAATGGTTAAAGTGATAAATTGTTTTCTGCTACAATGAAAAATTATAAAAGGCTTTATCTTTCTAACAGATACAAACTCCCTGTTATGAACCATTATATGTTTTGTTTGGTTGGTTTTTCAGACAGGATCTCACTATATAGTTCAAGCTGGCCTTGAACTCAGTACATAGTCTGGGCTGGCCTTCAACTCACAGCCATCCTCCTCTTCATCCTGCCTCAGCCTCCCAAGTGCCAGGATTACAGGTGTGCACCACCTCACCTAGCTTCAGAAACAGCTCTACAGTACTGGACAAGGCCATGTCTCACCACAGGCAGGCCACCTCCAGCCAACAATCAGCAGAAAGCCAACATCCTCATTCAGAAACTGATTTCCACCAGCATCAACAGCTTGCGCACCTGGAGGCCCATGGCTGCACAGGACCACAAGGCCAGCTGACACCTGAGCAGAAACTAACTCAGCCAGGCCTGGACTCCTGACCCATGGAGCTCACAGTAGCAGTGTGCAATCACTAAACCACGGTGACGTGGTATGCAGCAATAGATGCATAATACAGAGGAGGACAAGGTAAAGGACAGCCTGATTCAAGTGACTCGGGCAGTACGGCCCAAGGGAAACATTTTTATTTATTTATTTATTTTTATTTATTACATTTATTTATTGTGTGTGTGTGTGTGTGTGGCCAGCTCAGCCCACCAGGGGGTGGGGCTGACTGGCATGTGGTGCTGGAGGATCGAACTGAGGTCCCTGTGCTTTGCCAAGCTTGTTTCAAGTAGGTGCTTTAGACCACTGAGCCATCTCTCCAGCCCCGGGAAACATTATAAGGAAGCTTTGTGACCCCAACTTTTGTGGAACACTGAAAGAACAAATGCCCAAGGTGGACAGCGATGGCCCCTGGGCTAACACCACCAATCCTAAACCAGGTGTAGTGGCGCATGCCTATAATCCCAGCACTCTGGAAGCAGAAGCAGGAGAACTGCTGTGAGTTTGAGCTACATATCAAGATCCCTTCTCAAAAAAATAATCCCACCAATCTTAAATTATAAATATTCATAGCTCTACCACTTCCTAGCTTTGACAGTTTTGTAACCCCTGTGAGTCTCAGGTTTTCTAAACTGAAAAGAGCAAGCTAACAGCAGGATGTAAAGCTGCATACCTGCAAGTCCAGCTACTCGGGAGGCTGAGGGAGGAAGATCACAAGGTAGTGGTCAACTTAAGCAATTTACCAAGACCTTGTCTCAAAATTAAAAAAAAGAAATACTGGAAAAGTAGCTCACTGGTTAAGTGTTTGCTTAGTACTTGTGTGGCCCTATGTTCAATGCCCAGCACCACAAAACAGAAACTATAAGACTCAAACAAGACAATGAATGCAGTCATGTAGTGGTTAGCTCTTGGCAATAAAAGGATCAGAGCCCTCAGCAGCAAATGTACCCCAAAGCAATCCTGCCCAGCTCATACTCAGCAGTCATAAGATAATTCACTAACCCTGAACAAAACACCACGAGGTAAGCCAGGCATGGCGGCGCACTGCTGTTATCCCAGCACTCGGGAGGCTGAGGCAGGAAGGATTGCCATGACTTTGAGGCCAGCCGAGGCTACATAAGCAAGCTTAGGTCCATCTGGACTACAGAAACCCTGTCTTAAACAACAACACAAGAGAAAAATAAGCCTTTCTGCTGGTGAGAAAAAGCGTTCAATGAGGTCAAGGTAAATGACCCAGCCCGCATGCAAGGTTGATGTACAACTTCAGTTATAATGCGGGCATTCCTGAATGATGAACACAACATGCTGAAAAACACACTTGAGATAGCTACATTCAATAGAACCTGTTTTTAATATCATAAAGTTTTATATCTACACTATGTATACAGCTCTCCAGAGCAAGGGATCATAAGCAATAAGAAAAAAAACACTCAACACAATGCAAAAGTAAACAAAATATTTAAGTACTTTAACAAAGAAAATATATGGATGGCAACTAAGAACATGAAAAATTAAATCATTAGTCATGAAGAAACAAAACTATGTGAGATACCACCACACACTTATCATATCTTTAACCCCTCACAAAAACCCTAACCTCAGGCAGGGCATGGTGGCACCCCTAGCACTCAGGAGGCTGAGGCAGGAGGATCACCTGAGTTTGAGGCCAGCCTACACTACAAAAATGTACGCACACATACATACATACATACATACATGCATACATACAAACCCCAGCCTCAGCCAGACACGGTGATACACACCCGTAATCTCAACACTCTGGAAGGCTAAACCAGAGGATCTCAGTTTTCAGCCCAGTCTGAGCAATTGAGCCACTTAGTGAGCCTTTGCTTCAAAAAAAAAATATTATTATTATTATTATTATTATTATTTCAAAAAGCACTGGGGATGTAGCTCAGTGCAAAGGCCTGGAGTTCAGTCCTTGGTGCCACCAAAAAATAAACAAATAAAATCACCTCTCCCCGCATGGCTTGGAGCCAGTCACCCACAGCTCACCAGCAGTGGGTCAGTACCTTCACTTTTCTGTACTCCTGACTGTCTCGAAATTCTGTGACCTCCTGTCTCACCCTGCACAGAACAACAGGCCACCAGGCCTCAGCCCCCTCCTTCCTCCTGCCTTCCCCTGTTCCTGCTCTTGCCTTGGCCACCGCAGTTCCTTCTCAGTTGCACCCTCCAGGTCTCAATAAATCCTTGACCTGTTGCCCTATTGGCCCATACGATTTTTCCAAATCCTAGGTACACAGTTTTAAAAGCCTAACCCAAATAGGACACGGCTTTGCTTCTGCTTCAGCTAGGCAGCTATCACGAGTGCCTAACAGCGAAGATTTCCTTTTGTGCCCAGTCAGCATGCGAGAAAGTGTTCCGGGTTCCAGGTGGAGCCAGGGGCGTGTGTGTTCCGGGTTCCAGGTGGAGCCAGGGGGGTGTCTGCACTCATCACAAGCCACAGCTCCAGGAGTCAGGAAAGCAGCTTTCCATAATTCGGGCAGACAAGGATCGGTGGTTTTTATTTTTGCTTCTTGGTTTTTTGAGACAGGGTCTCACTATGCAGTTCAGGCTGGCCTTGAACTCACCTTGTAGCCGAGGCTGAACTGGAACTCAACGTTGATCCTCCTGCCTCAGTCTCCCAAACATTGGGATTACAGGTGTGTGCCACCATGTCTGGCAATATTAGTTTTATTTTTTTATTTTTTATTTTTTGCAATACCAGGGTTTGAACTCAGGACCCTGCGCTTGCCAGGCAAGTGCTTATTCTACTGAGCTATCTCCCCAGCCCCAGTATTAAACACCTCTGCAAAAGCCATTTCATATACTCCCACAGTGCCTCCCCAGAGGCGGGAGGAGTAAGAGAACGCACTTTTCTCTACAGAAACCGTCTGCTTAGGCAGAGTGCCTTCTGACTGGTGGGAGCAGTCACTGGGTCACAAATCCCTCATTCTCAGGCTGAGAACTCTGCCATGGGCCCCTTTTATCCCTACTTTTCCTGTGCAAATCATCCTCTGGCTCATAGATAAAAATGCAGCTTTGTCCGGAAAAATAGTGGGCTGTGAAAGCAGTGGTTCCTAGGAGGCTTGAATACTGGTTCCAGCTGAAACAATCCAGAAATAGCCAAACTCTTAATTCAACTTTTCTGGAACACTCAGATCTCAGGACATTTAAAAATTATTGAAGCTGTAGAATATGTACCTTCAAAACTTCTGGGAAAAAAATCTTCTGGAAATGCAGTAAACAAGAAGAAACTGTTTTAGTTATATAATTATTTCAAAATTAAAAGTCAAAGTAATCAGGAGGCTGAGGCAGGAGGGTTGCCACCAGTTCAAGGCCAGCCTGGGCTACAAAGTGAGTTCAAGGCCAGCCTGCACTGCATAATGAAACAGTCTCAAAAAGACAAACAACCACAAAACCCTTACAAACAGGGAAACAAGTCCTTCAAGAATTCTGCAGTGAATTAAATTATTTAAATGAGCAAAGGGAGATCATTTGACAAAATCTGACCTTCAGTCTAGATGAGTAGTTAGAAGGGATCTCCACCAGAAGCACAGATTTTCCACGGGGACGCTGAGAGTAAAAAGGAAAACAAAGTAAGAAAAAAAACATTTCAATTCTAATAATAAGTATAAGGGAAAGAGATGATTGAGGAATCCAAAACCTTGCTTTAGGAAATCCTAGGAAACACAACAGGCAAGCACACACTTCTTCAGTCCCGCCCTGTCGCTGGCCTTGGAAAATTCCAGCATGAGTAAAAAAGCCAAGTGACCCTGGAACTCCCAGGGGGCCTGGGACCACGCTTTGAGAATGGCTGCTCCAAACCTCCGCCCATGGCCTAAGATCGAGTCCACTGCGTTTGCCTCCCTGACTGACAGGGAGCAAACAGCATAGTCACGAGTCTGAGGCTGGGGCTTGGAGGGGATTCCCCTTTTCTTTCTCCAAAGGTCACTGCGGGACGCGCAACACCCAAGTCGGGTTTCCGGGAAGACTGTCCTCAAGGTGGCGCTAGAGGGCGCTGCTGGAAAACCTCCCCACGTAACTCATCGCTCTTTCCAGCTCACGCCCCCAGGTTCACACGGGCGTCCAGAAGAGAGGGCGGTGTCCGGAGAGGGGGCGGAGTCGCGGCCTCATTGGACGAGCTGCCTTCGCCTCACGTCCTGGGGCGGGGCTTCTTGGAGTTAAAAGCTGGTTCCCACTGCGGCTCCCGAGTGCAGCTCGCGATTACAGCTCTGCTGACGAGTTTCTTTCACTTACCGAGGTTCGCCGGGTCATGGTGCCAGCCTGACTGAGAAGAAGACGCTCCCGGGAGACGAATGAGGAACCACCTCCTCCTGCTGTTCAAGTACAGGGGCCTAGTCCGCAAAGGGAAGAAAAGCAAAAGACGAAAATGGCTAAATTCGTGATCCGCCCGGCCACCGCCGCCGACTGCAGTGACATCCTGCGGCTGATCAAGGTAACGGGAGGCCCAGGCTTGCCCCGGGGCAAGGGTTGGCCGCGGCTTGAGATTCCTTCCCTGTCTTCTTCCCCTTTCCCGGGACCGATCGGCCGAGCCTGTCCTGTTCCCTCATTTTCTCTTCTGTTTCTCTTTCTTCCGTGTGCGTCACTCCAGGAACTGGCTAAATACGAATATATGGAAGACCAAGTGATGTTAACCGAGAAAGGTAACGCCGCGGTGGCGGGGTGGGGCCGGGCGGCAGTGCCCGAAAGCTGCCCGGAGGCCAACGCCGTCCCTGCCACTCCTTCTTGCAGATCTGCTAGAGGATGGCTTCGGAGAGCACCCCTTCTACCACTGCCTGGTTGCAGAAGTGCCCAAGGAGCACTGGACTCCGGAAGGTAACCCCCCGCCCTGCCCGGAAGCTGAGAAAGCAGAGCGAGTGTTGTGTAAAACTTGTAGCGCCTGCTGTGTAGAAGTCCCAGCCACACCGGCTGAGGCCACTAGACAACTGGCGGGGATCCTCACCAGCCGGTGTTGAGGTTACTGAGGAGAAAACTGGTGTGCGGCACTTTATAACAGGGCGGGTTAAAAGAGCTGTTTAAGTAAGCCTCAGTACTGTGGAGACCGGAAGAGTTAGGTATAATGTCATTTGATGTTGTTCAGTTTCATAAAATGGTTTCTTGTTTGACCCTAACCTAACTTTTTTTTTGTAATCGTGTTAAATCACATTTTTTTCTTTAATTTGTCCCAATCTTCAGGTTACAGTCTCTAGCTTCGCCATGTACATGGCCCTTCCGTGTACATGGATGGGCGGGGAGGTAACTAAAAGATCCTTTACACAATAAAGTAGATGATCATGATAAATGAGGTAAGGTCCTATTATCGCACACTTAAAACACGGTAGATCAGAAACCCTATCATATTCGCTTCCTGTCTGTTTGCAAAGAAATATAAAATGGCTAGAAAGTTTAATTTGAAACTTTTGCCTTCCCTTGGAATTGTGGCAACCTCTCAGGAGGGATTTTTTTTTTTTTTTTTTTTTTTTTTTCAGAACTGGGGATAGAACTCAGACCCTTGTGTCTGCTTGCAGGTGCTTTAATTCGCAAGCTATTTGGCCGGCCCTAAAAGTTGAGATGTATTTTTTTTTTTTTTTTTTGCTGGCCCCTGTTGACTGGTCAGAAGACAGCTAAAAGGGGAAGTTGTTTGGGTGGGTACTTTAAGTTTCTTTCTGACAGCTGTTCCCCAAGCTAGAAGAAATGAGCTGGGCTTTTGAAAGGGGTGCTGTGGTGGGGTTTTCTGAGGCGCATGAATGTTATGTAATTCCCAGTTCTGGGTTATTACTTCTTCTGGCTTAAAAAACTGGGGAGAGCAAATAAAAATATTTAAATTGGAAGGCAAGTTCTGAAATTAAACATTGTACTTTTGGCCTAATGTTCTGACCTTAAGGAAGCAAGAGTTGGTAAACTCCCAAATGTTTACTGTTCTGAACTGCCGTGTAAACCCGACTTATTCCCAAGTCAGTATACCAGTGTATCATTAGGATGTGAACAGTGTGTGTGCTCAGTAGTTTAAGACTGTAGCAGTTTTGCTCTGGCAAGTAATGAAAGCATTCTCGCTTCCTGAGTGTTGAGGCCCAGCCAACTGCAGAGTAGCCAGCCCCCAGTCTTAGCCTGGCTTCAGCTGGCTCTAATGTGCGCTTTTTGCAAAGCCCTGTCTGACAACAGTGAGCTCCTCCCACAGTGGCCTGGACTGCTCTAACATAAAGATCAGGAGGCAGCCCAGTGGAGTGGCCACTTGTCTCTGTAATGTACGTGCATGTGAATTTCTTTAAAATCTACCATTGGCCTCTGATTCTGCCACTACAACTTTATTGGATTGTTTTTTCTTCCCTCCGTCTCATCTACATTCTCTTATTCCAGGACACAGCATTGTTGGTTTTGCCATGTACTATTTTACCTATGACCCATGGATTGGCAAATTACTGTATCTTGAAGACTTCTTCGTAATGAGCGATTATAGAGGTACATAGTTGTGTTCCAGGCTGGGGGGAGGGTCTAAAATGAACCTCCAAGTCCTTACAGTGAAATTTTTAATTGTACTTCTTCCTTTTAGGTTTTGGTATAGGATCAGAAATTCTGAAGAATCTAAGCCAGGTATGGCCTACTTTGGGGCTTCTGTATTTGGAAGGGTGACTGGATGATCACAGTGACTGACTCAAAATTGGGTTTTGGAATGCAGGTGAAACATTACCAAGTCAGTGTTTTCTCTTATCAATAGGTCGCCATGAAGTGTCGCTGCAGCAGCATGCACTTCTTGGTAGCAGAATGGAATGAACCATCTATCAACTTCTACAAAAGAAGAGGCGCTTCTGATCTGTCCAGTGAAGAGGGCTGGAGGCTCTTCAAGATTGACAAGGAATACTTGCTCAAAATGGCAGCAGAGGAGTGAGGTGTGCTGGTGTAGACGATGACAACCTCCATTCTATTTTAGAATAGATTCTCAACTTACCTTGCTTTCTGTCCTGTTTGTAGTGAAATAATAGAATGAGCACCCATTCCAAAGCTTTATTACCAGTGGCGTTGTTGCATGTTTGAAATGCAGTCTGTTTCAAATGCAGTCATGTGTGCGGTTTGGAGTCAGATTTCTCCTTGAACATCTTTTGATAAACAACAAGGTGGTGTGATCTTTATATGAAAAAAACTTCATTCTTGTGAGTCATTTAAATGTGTACAATGTACACACTGGTACTTAGAGTTTCTGTTTTGATTCTTTTTTTAATAAACTACTCTTTGATTTAATTACCTGTGGAAGCATTTTTACTGATCCTCTGTCCTTATATATTATTCTTGTTGAGTATAAAATAAAAATGATCAAAACATCAATAGATAAAAAAATTCACTTGAAGACAGTCTTTAACCCAATTTAAAACTTTTATGGCCACATTGGATTTCCAAAGTTGTAACACAAGACACTTGACATTGATAGCACTGTACACTTTACCTGACAGAATTTTCAAGAGCTCAGGTTTAAAAACCCAGGTTAGAAAAAGGCCCATGGTGAGAAAGTCCAAGTTGTATGAGTAAACTGTGGAGGCAGGATTATGAAACATTGAAAATCCGAAAGGGAAAAAATCCCATCCCACATAAAATGCTTGCTTTATTTCTGGTTTATTTTATTGCTGCAGACTAGAAATGAAGCCCCGGGCCTATGTGCTAGGCAAGGTGTCGCCACTGTACCACACCCCAATTCCTCACAGCCATGATGGCACATTTGTTATAGGGAGTTAGGGAATTAAAAGGAAACACGGGACAAATCTTGTAAATAAGTTTCTGATAAATGAAGGGCTTCTATAGTAGAGAAACAATAGGTGCCTTTCAAAGTTTGAGGGAAAAGAAATAAAGGCTTTCTCAAGGTTGAAAATGAAACAGAAGAGGCAAAGAAAAAGATGGTTTTCTCCTTAGACATGTGAACTTTTTAGTACTCATGTTGACCTACATTACTAAACCCACTAATTTCTGCAATAATAAAAATGATAGTTGATAAGAACCACTGTAAGGGGCCGGGGAGATGGCTCAGTAGAATAAGCACTTGCCTGGCAAGTGCAAGGGCCTGAGATCAATCCATAGTTTTGAAGAAAAAAAACCTACTGTAGACTAATGTTCAAGAGTCAAGTTTCCTGAGAGAAGTTGTAAGCTACCTGAAAAACAATAGTTCTGTGTTCCAGGAAAGATATAACTGGGTTTTCCAATTTCCTACATTCCTATTGGCTGTGTTTAATACAGAAGGGCTCTGGAATTTATGGGTGGTACAGAGAGCGTGCTGGGGAACAGGTCTACAGAGTCAGTTCCCATCCAGGACCCTGCTAGCATAGCAAGTGACAAGGGAAGGCCCACAAAAATGAAACACAAACAGCCTTCTAACAAGTAAGATACCTGTGTTTTAGGAACTAGACCTTTTAGAGGAAAACAATCACATGCTGACTATGGTTAAATATAGCACATGAGTAAGTTCAGTTACCTGAGTGAGTTACTACATGACTATTTTCTCATCCTTTTTAGAGTTTAGCCTTAAAGGCCTAGTGTTATCAAGAAAGCTTTTTTTCATTTTGTTTCTTCAGATAGGATCTCAATATGTAGTTCAGGCTGGCTTGATCTCACTATGTAGCCCAGGCTGGCCTCAAACTTCCATGGATCCTGGATCTTCCTGCCTCTGCTGAGTGCTGAGGTTACGGGAGTGTGCCAGCATGCCTGGCAAGAGGAAAGCTTCGTGAAGCTTTCCATCCACTTTGGAAAATCTGTGGAGTGTGAAGTGTGGAAGTGGTCGTGAGCCCGCCCAGCTCTGCAATTTGAGCTTTCCTTGAGCACTTTGAGCTAGAGGCCAGGCCTGAGACCTGTCCTGAACAAGCAGGTCCTGTCCTTTTCAAGCCCCTTAGGCTCATTCCTCCTGCATCACTGAGCCACAATTTGCACAGTGCCTTGGGCAGGCTTTGGGACAAACTGACTTCCCTGTCCCAAGACAGCTTGCAGCGAAGACTGTCCTGTTCTGCTGCCCCCAGGAGAACAAACTGTGAAGACACAGCTAGTGCCCAACTCACCAACTAAAGAAGCAACTGTGTGGCCCAAGCACATCCCCTCGGGCATCAGAGTCAGCGCCTTCAAGCAAGATCCTGGGG